TTTCCCATTTTAAATCCCATTTCTGCACAGGATAAGCCCTGTGTGATAAACTCCATAGAGCATGTTACAATAGTCCAAACCATGCCTTATGAGAAGAGACTTAGGGAGCTGGGCATGTTTAGCCTGAAGAAGAGGAGAGAGATATGAGAGCCCTGTTTAAATATTTGAAGGGGTGTCATATTGAGGATGGAGCAAGCTTGTTTTCTGCTGCTCCAGAGACTAGGAATATGGAGCAAATGGATTCAAACTGCAGGAAAAGAGATTCCACCTAAACTTTAGGAAGAATTTCTTGATAGTAAGAGCTGTTCAACAGTGGAAGACGTTCCCTCGAAGAATGCTGGAGTCTCCTTCTTTGGATGTCTTTAAACAGAGGCTGAATGGCCATCTATCAGGGATGCTTTGATTGTGATTTCCTGCATGGCAGAATGAGGTTGGACTGGATGGCCCTTGCAGTCTTTTCCAACTCTGTTTCTGTGATTCTATGCATCGGCCACAACAACTATGCACAATGATGTTAGGAGGTAGTTGTGCTTTGCATCAGTTATCAACAAAATAATGGATCTTCAAGCTGTATGGGGCGAAGGGAGCTGTGTTACTCTGTCCCAGCAAAGACAATACACAGTCCTGTGCTCCCAGATGGGATCTAGACTTCTGTTGCATTATATTTCTTTGTAAGTTGCTCTTTCTTTTGCCTCCTTTCTGGTTGAGACTGGAAGATTTCTTTTTTTTAAACGAACACAGCTGGGTCTGAGAAGCGACGGAGCCCCAGCAATGGACGGCGTGGGGGTGGAGAATACAAATTTTGAGGAACAACAGTAAAAATAGCTTTGACATTTCGAATGTCAGTAGGCTGCCAGAAGCTTCGATGTCTTTATGGTTTTCCTGTTCAAGAAGGGACTTGAAAAGAGTGGGAGAGGGAAGCCAGATTCATTAGACATCGGAGATGCGTGTCCCCTTCCATCTCGTCTTTCCTTGCAAAATGACCTGCCTGTTTCCTGGAAAGAGAATACTAAGACCTTGACAAAGAAGACCAAATTAGGTTACTGCAAGAGATTTTGCCAGATTTTGAGGGGACCTAGCAGTCTGGACGAAGCTCCTGGCGTGGGTCTAATTCAATTTCCTTCACATTATCAATACTTTTCAGACGGCGATGTCTTTACAGATGACAATCCTTGTTTGAAAGTGTCCGCTGCTTGAAGAGCTATCTCATCTAAGTCCGGTTGAAAGAAAAAGGGTCAGCAATGCTTGAAAACAGCAAGTTCCAAACCCGATACCTGTATTACATGACTTATTTTTTGGTAAGCAGGCTGGAAATGCCATGTAACAACTGGGATTAATACCGGAGTAATTTTGATGCAGTAACAGTTCTGGTTGCTTTTAGTTTTAGTTACTTTTAAAGGGCAGTTTCAGAGACATTTTGAATGGAATTTTCAAGTTTTTTGCCATTCTCTTATCAATCCAAAGATACTGCTCAAAACATAACAGCAAACAGTGATGGCATATGCCATCCTGGGTCGACAATGTCCTTCAGCACCCTGCATTGGACAAACAGGCTAGTCCTGGGCCAGAGGATAAATGGACATAAATCAGACATTATGGTTGTTTTAAACTGCCCTTGAGTGGATCTGACCCATGGAGACCCTATGGATGAGACATCTCCAAGAAGACCCCCTGTCCTCCAATGCTCTGCTTAAATCCTCCAGGCCCTTAATACCCAAAGTGACCTCTTTCATAGAGTCCATCCATCTAGCATTCAACCTTTGTTTCTTTCTTCTCCTCTCCACCTTTCCTAGCATTATTGTTTTTTCCAGTGAGTCCTCCCTTCT